CGATATCTTGTACGATATATCGCGAAATTTGCATTAGAGAAAGCTAAACGGTGCGAAGTGATATGTATCGAGATGCTATGAAAATGTATAGAAAAGAAAACAGGAAAGTTTTCTGCGGCAATTAATCTTGGGGTTAAACGTGGAAAAAAAAATGAAAACGATGATGTTCATCTCTTTACTTTTTTTCCATCTTCCCAACGGACGCCTAAGCTCGTTTCCAACTTTCTCGTTTCTAGGTAAATTGATTTTTTTCGTCGCGCTGCAGGGTGAATATAAAACCACTCTAAAATGAAATACGGTCGTCCCAAGAGCGTAAATCAAATCTAATTTTGTACTGCTCGAAAATGAGCTGCCATTTAATAGTTTGGAATTTTCTCAGTGTCGTTGTTTAACGTGCGCGACTCAATCATATTGCGGCGTTAAAAATTGCAATGTAGACTCGAGCGAGAGATAACACGAGTGTGTTATGTTAGGATTAAGAGGAAGCTAGCTAATCCTTTTGAATCTACATATTGCTCTGATGAAACGGGAGTTGCTTTGCAATTCAGATCAATTTTTTGTCGGTATGTCGTATAGTTTGCGCGAATATTTTGAATATCGCGGTTAGAATAATGAAAGAAGACGGATTATAGAGCTTGACTAATTGCACCATTGAATTGAATTGCAAGGATTATCGTATTGATGACAGTAATCCTGAAATTAAATCTATAACACATGGACATAAATAATTATTGCAGTAAGATTTGTACATTGAGTGCTAAATAATTCTTGCATACAACACAATACATACTTTTCTTATTAACATTAAAATATAAGAAACGTTTTGTTCTCGACAATGAGAAGATAAAAGTAGCGAAATGGAATAAAATCTTTACCGCGCTAATTGATCATAATTGAGAGACATATATATATATACACTAGCGGATCCGTCGGGGGGGGTTAAACCCCCCCCCTCTTCCAAGTTAAAAAAAATCAATTTTGCTGGATCCGTTTCAAGAATCCACTCTTTAAAAAGACATGAAAGATCGATACTCGAATGTATCGGAAGTATTGTTGATGCTTTTCGGCGACGCTGATTGGTTATTGCGATTATTCTGATAGTTTGATAGATTCAGAGCGAAGGTTATTTTGACGGTTATTTAAAATTAAAAAAATTTATTAAAATATTTAGATTTTTTAATTATTAAATTACTGTAATAAGTGCGCGCGCGTAGCGCGCGCCTGTATTGTTCTAGTCTTGGTAAAAAATGCATTAAAGCAGATCAAAACCCCCCCTATTATCGACATCAAGATCCGCTAGTGTATATATATATACAAAGCTTGACTATAGCAGTAAATTCACGAACATAAACTTCTCAGCAGCGTACGATGTATTTATTAGTCCCCGATTACGTGAGAATGCGCGCCGAGCGCGTAGACAGGTTATTCCTAATAGGTTGCACGGTTTCTCAGTAATTTATTTGGAAGCATATTGAATGGAATAACATGTATAAAGACCGTTACCTTTCTTCCTTATCTTCATGTTGCAGGCCTTCGCAATTGTCCACTCGCGTAAAAGTTTATCGCCTCTATCGTTACTTTGATCTCCAAATAGATTCTATTCGCTGTAGCGCGATTCTAAAAATAATTATGCCAGCTTAAATGAACATTGGATAAGTGTTTTAACATTCTTGAGGCGCAATAATTTCTTTCGTACTTAAGGTAAACTCTGTATAATAGAAGGAAGACACCAGTGTAAGACAAGCCTGGCAGCTTTAACAGAGCACGGCATTCATAATAGGGCAATTTTCACTCGTTATACGACACTAATTATGATTTACGGAGAGTAAAACTAAAGCTTCGAGCGCAAACAGTTCTGGCAAATAATTTATTCTTTCATTTCATTTCTTTGCTCGCTCGCTCACCAGCTCTGTTTATAACTCTCGCCACCGGTGAAGATTAAAATGGTCCACGATAATGAGAACTGTGTGGCAGACCTCTGGCATTTTCTCACTCTCTTCCCTTCTCTCTCTTTCCCCTTCTCTCTCTTTCCCCTTCTCTCTCTCTCTTTCTCTCTCTCTCTCTCTCTCATTTCCTTCTTCTTCCTTCCGTTGCGTGTCTCACTTTCCGGGAAAACTCTCTGTATTACTTTCCCTTTGCAAACTGCGATCCGTTCTTCAGATTATTCCGTGATTGTCGAAAAAAGAATCATGAATTTTTAATCGTCTCCGCAAGCATTTATCTGCATAACAATGATTACTTTAAACTTGCCGTGTTCTCTAATTGCGATGTTAATTACAACTTAAAAGATTAAAATTTCATTATTTGCATATGTAAGAATATTTGATACAAAATAATTTAATGCGTAAAAATTATTTAATATGCGCACATATCTCTGTTGCATATATAAGTTGTATTCCATTATTTGTATTTATCCAATTAATATTGATCCGCTAATCGGCTGGAAGTGATTGAAGCATGCGATTACGTAAATCTACGGCTCCAGCTCGTATGCTCTATTCTATGCATACCGCTTTAATCTGTCATAAAATATTAATTTCATAAAACGCCATACTCAGCGTGGCAAAATGTTATCTTTATGAAAATCAATTTAATCATGCCACTTCAAAGCCTTTTTTTGGGGGAAAAAAAATATTATTGCTCGTGTATCTGTTCAAAGTTGATTTTTCCTCTATTTTCAACATATAAAAATATCTGCTTGTGTATAATGTTATATTAAAAACATTATTTGAACAAGAAAGTTAATAAATGATTATATATATTTGCTGCATCTACAAAATAATATTTTAATCAAAAATAGCTATATGTTTCAATAACTTTTTTATTACTTTTGGCGATTTACGTTTAATAATTTGTCAAAATAATTTTTAATTATATTTAATTGAACAAATTTTAAAAATTGGCCGTTTTTATTGAGCGAGAATTAATTACTTCATTAAGCAAATTGCATACTTTTGTATTATCGCAAACAAAGTCAATTTTGTAAAGAGCAATGTTCAATATTCGCGCAATAGTAAAATTGTACGTGATATAAAATGCAAATGTGGTTAAAAAGCATGTACTACATTCAACCGACCAACATTGCGGTGCATTTTGTGGATTACCGAGAGGTGTGCGACAGAAATTCATATCAGAGAGATGCGGTGTAATTTTAATTTCTAGTATTTTGCAACCATTTTTCAAAATATTTTTCTATTTGACTAAAAATTTCAATTCAAAACCGCACTCAATTAACAAAAAATGTGAATTATTCGCCGTTTTGAGTTATTTCGCAGATTTTAAAACTTGTATATAATAAATCTATGTACATACCTATGGATTTCTTGATTCCTTTACTGAACGAGACTTAAGAGCATTAATAGTAATTCCACTTGTATGACATGAGAAAATATTAGATTACACAAGAAACGAGATGAAGTGTTTAATCCGTGGGAATATTTTCGTTTTTATGATAGCGTTTACAGCTTTATACGTCAAACTCTCAAAAGGTATGAAAAATGATATCTTGTTAAATTTCATAAAACTTTATTAAAACCAGTAATATCTGGATCGAGCGTGTGCGAAAGTAATTAAGAATCAGAGAGTTCCAGTTAAAAAGACCTTTCGTCAGCTTTGATGCGTTGACTGCAGTGAAACGAATGGTAAACAAGATTGATGAATGGAATTAGAAAAAATTTCTGAGCCATACTAGTATTATTTACTTTTAATATCTTGACAAGGCTTTATACGATCAAACAGAACGACTAGATATTCCAATCGCCTTCCGTATCGCCTCGTTGATTGCATATGCATCAAGTCAGCTTTGATTGTTTGCACTGTGAACGATTTTAAAAACGCTGATATTGGCCAGAAAATTGGGAGTTTATACGTATGTTTGCTTCACCAGGAGCAAGCCACTTACCTTTCTTTCGAAATGGTTATTAAGAGAATTATCATAATGATATTCATAAGAAATAAAATTTACAAATCGGTACGAATGTTAATTAGTACACAATTATCAGAGTGTATTATTACAATATGAGGAATAATAAGTATGAAATTATTTATTTATTTAATTGTAAAACATTAATTGGTTTGGAGAAAATTATTTATATTATTACTCCTAAACTTTCTTCTTAGATTTTTTATACATATTTACCCGCCAAGCTTTCTCTAGAGTATAATACAGTACTCGATACAATTAATTTCGAGACTGCCAAGACGAGATTTACAAGATCGCCTCGTTATCCACATTTTGCACGACGTTGACGTACAGCGAAGTGAAAATGGGTGCGGCAGTGATGTTCCTTGGGCGTTTACAGCGTTTATAACGCTGTGGATAATTGACTCTAATAAGAATTTCAAGGATGTCGCGTGAATTGTCCGCACTTTGATATTTGTGTTACGATTCTTATCTCTTTTCTGTTAATTTTTAAAAACGATTAAACATAAGTGTAGACTCATTGTATATGTGATAGTATACGGTAATATGATAATAATAAAATTGCAATAAATCAATAAAAAATCGCAATATTTTTGAAATCGCAAAAATATATCAGAATTTATTATTTGTGGTTCAAGTTATCACATGCCTATTTTAATGTGATTAAATAATTTATATACATATTACAAAAATAGTACATAACGAGGAAGAAAAAAATAATAAATTTTCACATTCCTATTTGTATATATTCACGCATTTGATTTTATTACAGTCAGATATAAAAATAAAATACCTTTACACATGTTTTAGAATCTCACAGAAGATATTTAAAATTTTTACGTATAAAATATCAACGGAGTATATATAATGTAAAGTATAATATACACATTGCTTTTTGCATTTTACTATGGTTTTAAAATTACTTACATTTTTACTACAATCGCCATATATAAACAAAATTGGCATGCTGCCATTGAATAAATTTGATTCATATTAAATTTTTTCAATGTAGGTTTTTTTGTAAACTATATCCGAATTATAAATCAAATATAAGCATTGATCATTTTTTATTAAAATTATTATATATTGTGATATTGTTAACTGATAATAAATAATATTATGTCCAGAACAGTATGAAAAAAATTAAATTGTGAGAACTACTCTTCTTATTTCTTCACATTTGAGAGTGCCCGATTTTATATTTGCACAACTATCTTCATAGAGGCTTTGATTTGATATTTTTATATAAAGATTAATATTATTTTATGTAAAAAAAATATATAATACTATTCAAGTGCTATAGGCTCATTATAGTCAGGTTCACAATTATATATACATTCCTCTATACTGATAAAATTATTCTTATTTCCTTTACAACCTCCATATGCAAAATATTCGCAGTTTCCTGTTTTTGGGTTATGCCACGATCTCTGTTCTAAGATATTACAAGGACCCTTATCCAGTTCCAAATAGCAAACTGCAAAGCAAATACAAAGCATATTAAATTATTTATACACAATAAAATATCTATAATGTCTGATTGTGACAAAACTAAATTGACAGTTAAAATTTTTTTTCGCCAACATCCAGCTGTGCGTGACAATAAAATGTACATATATACATTTTTAAAGAATTTTATTGTTCAAGTAGTATTAAAGATATTGCGATAGTAAATGTGATAAAAGATTATTGCGTTCAGTGTGTAACAAAAATGTACTTACTATCTGGTTTAGGTTTAGGTGCAGGCGTATATAGCAGCCTTTCTGCTACTGTTTTATGTATTAATATGTTGAGAATGACCGGTAAAAATACGGTAAGAAGGACAAGTAACAACCATGTTTTAAGATTCATTTTTATGCGTATGAAAGCGTATGATGATTCAATTTGTAGCAGTTGCGTTTTTTCGACGTGTAATATTTGAAAAATCTTTTCGAAAATAATGACACGTGCAAAGATCTGAAATTATATACACAGCTTTAAGCTTAGCTTATATTACAAATAAAAAATTGTTAAAGTACAATACGATTTTATATTTTACTTATATATTGAAATAATCGCTTCGCCATTACAAAAGTAATTTCGCGAAAATCAGTTCACAAAAGGCAAGATATAATTGTATTAAAAGGTTTAGAAAAATCTGTTCAAATTAAATAGTGTTTCGATTTTAAATCATTTTATCGTTTAATATCTCTCTGACTGAGCGACCTACTTGAAACTTACAATTAGCGTCAAAACCGCTCAAGAACATTGTTGTTGTCGTGGTACTTTATTACCTATTCTTGGCGACGTAACGGAATTTGTCGATGAAATTATTTTAAAATTTGAAACTTTTTATGTCATTGGTGATAAACGCGACTTAACGCATGTTTTTAGCGTGTAGATCAATATCGAATAAAAGACAAACAATATCGCTAATTTATTAATTTGCAAATATAAAAAAAAGCAAAATTAATTTAACGTTGGAGAGTAAAATTGAATTTATTAACTATAAAATTGCATAAGAGGAACTTACCAAATACAGATAGCTCTCTTGTTTTCAAGTCAGAATCGAGTTGATATAGCTGTTTTTCGTCTCGTCGTATAAGTATGTCCAAGCAGATCGGTCTCGAAAAACGTTGTCGTTTCTTGACGGTGAGAGGCAAAAGCATGTAAGATTGCGATTGATTCTGTGTTGATGTCGAAATTCTGTTTACATTAAATGTAAATAGCATGCGCAATAATCAGCCAATTACGTGATAGATAAGTCACGAATATCATAACTGTATTGTACGCGATATGGCTGTAAGAGGGCATTGTTTTCTAAAATTTTGGCTATGTTTTCAACAGAGTTTCGCTGCAGTCGAAATCCCATTGGTTTGCACATTATAACATGATATTTTTTAAATCACAAAAATATTTCATAAACGTTGATTACTTATGTTATTATATGTACATTGTATATGTAATATAACTAATTTTGTATAAATATAACAAATAGCGTATATATAACAAGAATGAAAAAATGATGAAGTTCTATATAATTGCGATAAAAATTTTATCAAGATCGAGAAAACACGCTGAAGAAAGGTTTTCAAACTTTTAAGCGGACGCCAAAGGCATTCAACATTCGGGCCAGGTTGCTTCATATCCTTTTACGACCGCTATAGTTCTCCACTTGATAAGATGAGTTTGCAATCGATACTTTGTGTTGCGAAACTTCTTCGACACGTGTAACGTCGGTGTTTTTCTTTCGAAAAAGTTTTTCTTTTAGGTGTGGTGAGAAGATACCACCGTTTTTTTTTATTTATTTTTTATTTGCTATTTATTGTGTGTATTTCGTATGTACAGGTGAGAATATTTCGAGTTTCATAGTAAGAAATACATGCATATGGCTGTTTACTTACATTAATAAGAAGTATCGATTAATATTGAAATAAGTGTATGAATCTTTTTAGATCAGATTGTATGTGCGTGTTTTATAAATGATGAGGAAAAATAAAATTATATAATATTTTGACATAATATTATATAAAATTTAGTATGCTATACATATTCTGACAACAAGACGTAAAAGCGTATACATATTTTGTGGGTTTTCTTGAGTAATACTTTCTCATTTTAGCTTACGAGCTTGATGTTACTCGGTTTTTCATGACGATTTGCAGCGGACGATGCAATTTTCACATACTCTGATATGAATCACAATTTGCGCTGTGAGAGCGCATATGAAACTTCGTGAAGACGTAAAGTAATATTTAGAATCCTGCAATAACATTTGTATTATTTTTTACTCTACTGAATTTACACATATTTCTGTTTGAAGATATTGAAATATTATTGAACACACATGAGTCTGAATCGTGATTTTCTAAAGTTACAATTATCCGAATAAAATAAAATGGTATGTGTTATTGAAACTTAAATTGATGTAACAAATCATCGAATATATCGCACGCATATTCGAGATCTTACACAACTGATACTTTGATCATATTCCGGTCTATATTACTTCCTCCAAACGAGAACAGCTAAATAACACGGCACATCAACAATGGTTTCCTAGAAATTCAAGTCGGAGCATCAACGACTGCAATGTACTAGAATGTTTGATGACCCATTTTGAACTCCACCGGAACGGATGTGCAGTCTGCGCGTAGACACGTAGCGCACAAGACTCACGACTGCGTCGTCGAGCCGTGATCGGTGGATATGTTATGCAAATTCAATTTGCACTGAATGCCGTGCATGCAACGCGCGTGCGCGCCACAGTGCCTAATTTCTCCTAGAACGAAATTATAAGCCTGTGGCAAGATATACGACGACATCGCGGCACCGTAATGGCGCGCATTTAGCGTACGGGTAGCGTTTGCTGCAACATTTACAGAAACGTCGTTCCTCTTCGTCGATTCGTATTTCCGACTCCCATGTTTATCCGTGCACCTAAAGTGTAATTGCCACTCGGGGTAATTTTAAGTATACCAGAAGTTACAGAATCTTGTCTGAGAAGATTTTCGCAGGAACCTCGAAAGGTCGAAAGTGCAATTTTAGCAAGTTGTACGCAATGGTTAACTCGAAAGGTTAATTACAATGTTCCTAGCAGCGGAAAGTCGCACTACGATTACCATCCAGCCTAAATGAATTCGCACGACTCCTAATTGTTGGTTAATTTAATGCAGAGATAATCCAAATCCAAGAAAGTTCATTGAAAATTGTATTTTAGCTGTTTAATAGTCTGCAAGATATATAAAAAATTCAAGTGTAATTAATTAAATTGTAACATCTTGCAGATAAAAACGGAAAACAACACTTTGTTGATGTTGAGTCAAATGTGATACGTAAATGTAACGAATTAATTGGAACGACAAACATATATTGACAAGATAAAGCTTTAAACTCATAGCGCAGCGAAAATGCTAGCGAAAAAAATAGTTGTGCCATTAATTCTATCCATGATTGCAGCAAATTAGGTATACGTTGCGATTACGAACCAACATCTTTCTTCTGTTCTGTCATCTTACGTGTTCTGCTCTCTATCGATCCTTCTGAGTAGTCAGATAAATCGGCGCAGGAATCCAAAGGCATAATTTTAAAACTTTTGCCACGCTAGAACGCTATATTTCTTAGTTCGATACTTTACATACTATGACAAATAATTACGATACAATATCGAAATTATTATCATTGTTAAGAACAGTTGTTATATTTATTATGAAACAAATAATCATTGAGTTATAAATAAATTTATAGCAACAGCACGCTTGAAATTAAAGACAAATATTTGAGTATGATTCACCAATATATCGCGCATAGTTTGATGGTATCAAATATTGATGCTCGTCACAGATTGACGAATATCAATGACATAACACCGTTTGTCAATGCTTGTAATACATCACACTATTTTCCAAAAATAATTAAATTAAAAAAAAAATAAAAGGTTTTGTTATCTAAATATTTAAAAAACAATTAAGAATATCAATTTATGCATTTATCCGCAAAAGTTTTCTCGCGAGTATTTCTTTTGCTATTATTATGTCGTAATAGAAAAATTTATATCCGTACTCGATCACTTCTCATGAAGTCATAAAAAAATATGTCTTGACGGCATAAAAAACGTGAATTAACTGACATAATAAATTTCTTATGAAAGATGGACAATAAGATTAGTAGACTCTGGCGACCGTGATTGATGGATGTGCGTCAGAATGTGAAAGAATAATTCAACGTAATCTGATATATGAAATATTTGTCGATTAAAAAAATGCATTCTAATTTAATTTTTTTTGGCAATCAAATCATTTTCAGTGACTTCATTCGATTGCAAAGAATATATTTTAAGTATATTTAGATACAAACTTTTGATCTTGTTATTTTATTCATTCTAATCATTAATTTTCTTAATGGATAAATATAATGATTATTGATATTAATCTAATATATGGAAGTAAACATGATTTATACATATTTTCGACTAATGGATAGGAACATAAATCTTTACTACAGAGGAAGAAACCTAACGGTGATCCGCAAAAGCTGGTTGGTTGTGTGAAAAATGTTCTTGGTATTATTGGAGCGGACATGATAGTCGTGATAGAAAACAACGTTCCATTCCGACGAAGAATACACTTAGATGTACGATCAGGAATTCGCACGATTGATTCGAAAGCGTTTTTCAATATTTTCTATAATACGGCCGGAAATATTGCGGTTTCCGCATCATCTTCGTTTTTCATTCGGCTGTGTTTACAGAACATCAAAATAGGGAAAATAGGGAAATAGCCAGGCTATGTTTGCTCTATATCGAAATTCTGTCGAATGAAATATATCTCGAGATATTTGTTGAAGAAAAATCGACTGCAAATTGCTCACGATACAATGTAGATATTATTTAGATATTATTATTTGGATAAATAATAATGCGACAAACTTGAAATATCTGTATGTGAATATTTCTTGACGCTTGACGTTTATTGAAGTCGTCGTACATTCTTGTTTATCTCGTCATTTAATATTTAGCGGTGTAGTTTCTGAGTTTTTTTACATTTGTGAGATATGTCATGATGTAGAAGACTAAAGAAAGGGCATATTGTGCACTTTCGCGAATGTCGTTTGTTTCACCGAGTTCTTTAAAAAAAAAACGTCGCGGATAAAAGTTGAGAAGATGTCATATATTCTCTTTGGCTCCTGCGCACTTGAAAGCCGGCTAGTTCGCGTTTACTCGCATTACTTATTCAAGACGCAAGGTATCTCGAGGAAATTAAACAGAACATAGCGACATTCTTTGGCATTCCTAACTTGTGTATATTTATTATGCATTTATCTCGAAGTGCGCCGCAGTCTATATTTGTGTTGCAGCGGCGTTTGCTGTATTGGATTATTACTATTTGTCCAAACGATAACTCGGTGCTTTGCGAGAAACATTTTTCAGTTTATATGTGCTGAATAGATGTGACGATAGACGCTCGGATAAAATTTTCATCTTACCTAGTTTTCATCAAAATAACCTTCTTATTTTCACCTTCCGCGCCGCAATGTCGAAAACACATCTTTACACATCGACATGCCTTTGTGTTTTCACAATTCGGCTAATAATCGCGCGCGCACGCACACATTAACATTGACGCCAGCGAATAACTATAGACGTGATTGCAGTTAAGAAACACCTTGATTAAAACTTTGCCGGCGACGCGGCAACGCCTCCGGGATAAATTGCCCTAACGTCGCTCATTAGATCGCATAATTGGGTCGCGTGCAATTTGCGGAATCCGCCGCGCTATCCATTTTCCGTTGCTATCTCCGAGGTGGACACCGCCGTCACGATATCCCCCGCGAACCACCGCGGCGCGAGACTCGACGATGAAGGCGGCGACGACGATATTGTGTAAATGTGCACGTACACCGACGCACGAACAGATTATGACGGATAGTCACCGCCGAGATACTTAGCTGCGCGGCGTCATTACGGCGTACTCATTTTTCAAGCGCGCTCGCGAGATATCGTTACGGACTCCGGCGAAATATCCCTTTTCGAGGACGGAGTTGAATTAACCGCGATACACCCGATGCTCGTTCAAACGCGGTCTTCTTGTCTGTCGGCGTTTAAGAGAGTCGCACTCGCCGCGCGGGATATTAATTTCCTGATACAGTGTCGGAAGAATGCCGCCGCGCCAAGACCGAAGACGCCGAGTTTGCCAGCGGCGAAAGATAATGAAAAAAATGGAACGACTGTGCAGCCGAAACGGCGCCCCGTAACTCCTCTTGTCTTTCGCGGCACAGCAAAGTGTCGACTGTCGATGGTAATGTCTCTTAGCACAGACGTGCATGCATTTTCTTTCTTTAACAATAAAAGAAAAGATTAGAAAAATTTAATTGAAAAGATCAATGTCTCCATTAATTAATCAGACATTTAAAGATATACAACAGCGATATTGAATAGATAAACTAAAATATGCGAAGTTAATAAACTGAAAATTCAAGTTTCACTATATTTTAATTTTTGTGCTTCCGTTATCGTAGCAAAGACGATTCTGTCAAGGATACACGGTGCGATATTATAATTACTGTGAAACTGTAATCTCACACACCGCGGCTAACGTCATAACGAAAATGTAGATTGCGGATAAGGGACGTGGAAGGCGTTACGCTGCGTTACGTTGCGTTGCATTGCAAAACCGGTGCAATATCACGCGTGCGGTAAACCTTGGCGCGTGATATTACACCGAACGGCGTTCGTCCGCAGTCTTACAGCGGTGTTGTCCCTTGCGCCATTTGTTATTATGCGGTCGTTCGTTACTTCTTCTCGATAAACTCACACCCGTAGCGAAACGATTCCAAAATCGTTGCGCAAGAAAATTTTCATCTTCCCGCAGCTAAATGTATGAAAATGAGATAAGAAAAAAATTTACATTAAAAAGAAAATTGCATGTCAAATATTACGCGAGCGATATTAATTCGGGCGTTCTTCATTTTGCTTCTGGTTGCATTTCGTACGTAAAGTTGATAAGACGCAAAGTGTGCAAACACTGAAAGCATATTTATCCCGAAGAAGTAGTCGGGAGGGGCCAGGCGAGTAAGTAATTTTAGGGAGATTTAACTTTTATGAAATATTCCGCGCGGCGCGGAGCTCTTTGTAGATCTGACTGGCTCGTAATGTATGCTGCGGCTTAAAAGCCTTCTTTCTGCGGAATGCGCAATTATTTTTTAATGTACATTATTAAATGTTCGCGTGTCCACACAGCGGTATCAACGCAAGGGCCCTCGGACCATTTACTATTGCGCGACTGCCTGTGGCAATTCCGTGCGTTTGCCGAAAAGATTAATTTATGTGTGTAAGACACTTTCAATATCCTGATTTCACGTGTGGGATCGTTAAATATGTTTATTTTTGCATACTTGAAAAAAGATTTGAAACAATATTTTTCACAAGTTATTTCTGAAAAACAGGGATTTTTGGTGAATTTTTCAATAGAATGAAACGTAATCTACACACTCGAGTAGCTAACGTGGATTATCTAATGTTGTGACTCAACGGTAATAGTTTCCCGATTGAAATGTTGTTGGCTTTGTAGTGTGAATCTACCGCGAATCGGCAAACAAGTCCAATTCACGATTAACGCCAACATTCCGCAACAGACAGCGGGAAATTGCTCCAGATTCACGAAGTTGTATGCATATCTCACTGCTACAGATCCGTTCTATTACTTCCTCGCACACTGTTTCATCCTGTCCTTGTCTCACGTGGGTTCTCTTTGAGGGCTATGGAAATTATTCGCGCGAGAAACTGAGAGAATAGCTTGCGGTGCAGCTGGCAAAAGAAATAATTATATAAAATCCGGTCTTGTCATATCCCCAAAATTTGTACTAATAATTTGTACTAATTTGACGCAAATAATACATTTCTTTATGAAAAATTTTTAAAAAACTTAGGTGTGAAAAAAAGTTTAAATAAGGTCTAAAAAAGTGTATAACGAAAGCATTTTGTGCTCTATAAAGCAAACTCTATGCAAAAAAGAGATTTAATAATGCAAAGTCTAAACTGTCAAATTTATGATTAACAAAAATTGTCTGTCGTTGTTTGTAGATTAATTTTTACAAAAATTATGTATGTATTTAACTATCAAAAAATTGCGAAAATAAAGAAAATAATACGAGGACATTTCAGGAAGACAAACGTCTAGAGCTGAAACTATTTCATTTGTAAATATTAGCTCTGAACATCACGAATGCGTTCGTCAATCAATTCTCATTGCGATGAATATTTTAATCCGATATTTATTACTGCGAAATTTCTGACGGACACTCTTTTAGGCGTTTATCTCATGACAAACAACAGCGACGATATTCGTATCTTCTTTAGCTGTGTAATTGCTTGCGACTATCGCGTAAGCTTTTTGCGTGAAAGGAATTTTGGTATCAACACAGGATCCTTCGTGAGCTTATATGCCTTTCAGCCGTCTGACGACAATGTTTTTCATGCTCGCGATCTGCTAGAACCATACGACGAAACGAAGAATTTAACGATATCAAACACGATTCTGTTTAATAAAAAGAAAAAATTTATTCATATTTGGTGAATAATTCTTAATAATTATTATTGTCGACAATTTAATTTTTACTGTTTAATACTAAATAAACTTTATTATTTTTCAACATAAAACCATCAGCAGGAATACATTATCATAATTTTTATTATATAGGTACTTACAATAAGTCATTTTAACTTCAGAACAGTTGTGAGCAATCTCAAAGCAAATTTTGAAGATATTACGTCGGAGAAAACGCAATTGCTATAAATTGAAATATTGCGCATATAAATATAGATTTTAAAACATGTTTGTTATTTGTGCTTCTTATTGTTACCACGTAACGTATGAGATAGCAGCTGATAAACCAAAATGTAAGTTACTTTTATATTGAGTGCAATAAACTTTTATTGCATTGACTATTACAACAATTTTAACATAATGTAAAGAAATCAGAATCTTGAAAATGTATATATATGTAATAGCCAAAAAGATATAAGAGTCATAAGAAATTGAAGTGGTCGATTTAATTTTATCACGATACGACACCATAAAATATTTTATTGTGCACGTTGTGATATATACTGTATTTTTTTAGAGTTTGCTACGAACTCTTCGATTCCGGATATTGCATAATGTTATGATACTTTTATGATCCATATAAGAGGATCTGCGAATCGTTTTTGTTTGCAGATTATAGTGAAAATCAAAATAATTTCCCAACCTTAGAGGAATGCGAAGAGACATGCAAAAAGGCTTAAAAAGTTTTAAATAAAAATGCTAACTGAAAGAATATGTAAAGTTTTCATGAGACATTTGTACAACTGTAATTTGTGAAACACAGAAACATTAGTAAAATTTAAAAAAATGTACTACATACTGTAACATTACAGAAATGTTAGCAAATAAACATATGTACATTATGATCGGCGAGAAATCTGAATTCGCATTGCAGCGAAGATTTATTAGAAACGGTTATGCAGTTCTTTTGAGACTACATCGCATTATACGCGACAGCGATGATATTCGCGATTTATCGGCTTCGTAATTGGCAGATTATTGCGCATGCTGATCACATTGTTACATGAAGGAATTGACGCAGGATCGATCGCGATCCTACATGCTTTTGACTTTCATCTATCCATAAGCAAACAGTTTCTCTTGAGCTTTCGATTTGCTGGCACATATACGACGAGACGAGAGATTTTTCGATTCTTAACACGATTCTGCCTAGTGAAGAGAAATTTTTCGGAATCTGGTAGGTTTTTTTAATCAATTTTGTCATTAACAAATTTACTTTTATTGTTTAATATTAAATAAAGTTTGTTATTTTTCCTTTCAACTTACTTTACACTTTTGAGTTTGTATTAAACTTGTGTTTTTTTATGTCGTTTCATATCCAATTAAGTGTTTCACATTACGTTTTCCATCGGTTATGCACGAGACCGTTTAAAATTTTACAATAAATTTGAAAATAATTTTATGGACAAATTTTATTGTTTTGTTCATGTCAGCGGGCAATATCTGAAAATGTCAACAATGTCTTGCTTTTGAAATATCTCAATGCGAAATTCGACATACATTTATATTTTTCAGTAGACTTCTTTGAAAGTTTCAATCATATCTCATTTTTTATAATTAGTTTTTTTTGCAAACGACTTTATTACTTTTGTAACGTGGAGCAACATTTCAATACACAAGTGAAAAGTAAAATTATTCTGCATTTTAACAGATATAGTATTTTTAATATGTTATAAACATAAATATGGGTATGTAGTTTCAGATTGCAGTAGACGTATAATTAATTTCAACAAAATTTTTGGCGATATTACGTCGAAGAAACATAATTGCTATAAATTGAAACATTACACGTATAAATATGGAGTTGAAAACATATTTGTTATTTGCACTTCTTATTGTTGCCACGTTCGCGCATGACAAAAAACCACAATGTAAGTTTCTTTACATTGAATGCAATAAACTCTTATTGCATTGACTATTACAATAATTTTAATATAATGTAAAGAAATCAGAATCTTTAAAATGTATATATATGTAATAGTCAAAATGATGTAAGTTATAAGAAATTGAAGTTGTCAATTTAATTTTATCACGATGACAACACTATAAAATATTTTATTGTGCACATTGTGATATGTACTGTATCTTTTCACAGTTTGCTACGAATTGTTCGATACTGGTTATTGCACAATGTCAATACGGAGATACTTTTATGAACAATATACAAACACCTGCGAAAGTTTTTTGTATGGAGGTTGTGGTGGAAACGAAAATAGGTTTCTAACCTTAGAGAAATGCGAAGAGACATGCAAAAAGGCTTAAAAAGTTTTAAATAAAAATACTAATTGGAAGAATATGTATTGGTTTACTCTTAACTAAGAATAAACCAGAATTGAAAGAATATATATAAAAAAGTTTTAATCAGACATTTGTACAACCGTTTTATATGGAATAATTGACTGGAATAATTCATCTATCCATAAGCAAACAGTTTCTCTTGAGCTTTCGATTTGCTGGCACATATACGACGAGACGAGAGATTTTTCGATTCTTAACACGATTCTGCCTAGTGAAGAGAACAAATTTTTCGGAATCTGGTAGGTTTTTTAAAATCAATTTTGTCATTAACAAATTTACTTTCATTGTTTAATATTAAATAAAATTTGTTATTTTTCTTTTTAACTTACTTTACACTTTTGAGTTTGTATTAAACTTGTGTTTCTTTATGTCGTTTCATATGCAATTAAGTGTCTCAAATTACGTTTTTGCATCGATTATGCACGAGGCTGTTTAAAAATTCTATAAATTTGGAAATAATTTTGTGGACAAATTTTATTGTTTCGTTTAAGTCAACTGGCAGCATTTGAAAATGTCAACAATGTTTTGTTCTTAATATCTTAATGTGATATCGGTCATACATTTACATTGTTCAGTAGAGCTGATATTTCAATGTGAAAATAAGATAAAATAATTAAAAATCGATCTTAATTCAACTCAAAAAAACTTCTCAAAAAGTTTCAATGCAGTTGTATCTCATTTTTTATAATTAGTTTTTTGCTAACGACTTTATTGCTTTTGTAACGTGGAGCAACATTTCAATATACAAGTAGAAATTAAAATTATTCTGCACTTTAATAGATATAGTATTTTTAATATGAGATAAGCATAAAGATGGATATACTATTTCAGATCTGAGTCTAAATTGTTTACGAGAAAATTTTTAGCGATATTACGTCGAAGAATCGCAATACTATAACTGAGAACATCACATATTTAAATATGGCTTTTAAAACATATTTGTTATTTGTGTTTCTTATTGTTATCACGTTAACACATGAGGCAGTAACTAAGAGTAAACCAAAACGTAAGTTTTTTACATTGATTGCAGTATATTTTTATTGCATTGACTATTCCCAGGTAGAAATGTAGTCTAAAAGAAAGTCTGACCCTAAATATTTTTCCCCAAGTATAGCTTGGATTTGTTCGGAAAATTTAGCTTGGACCCATGTGTGATGGGGGACGGCGAGCATTGACGGATCCTTTATCTAAAAATGTACCCAGGCTCAGGCTTGTTCCCACAGTTTTTTTTAGAAATTATCCTGGAATCCTACCCCTAGGAGCCCCTAGGGCGACCGTTAGAATAATCTAAAGATTCAGAGTAAAAATTACTGGTTTTTCCTTGATTGGACCCGGCCAGATCCAGGAAAAATACAGATACTTAGATCTTTTTTAACCAAAATCTGGGAAAAATCGTGGAAAATTTACAGCGAAAAGCCAGAACCCGTCCGGATTTTCCAAGTTAATATTTCCCATACGGGGCCCGTATATATTCAGGGAAGATCGAGGGAATTTTCTGCCTGGGCTACAATAGTTTTAATGTAATGTAAAGAAATCAGATTCTACAAAATGTAGATATTTGTAATAGTTAAGATGATATTATAAGTCATAAGAAATTGAAGTTGTCAATTTAATTTTATCACGACGGCACTATAAAATATTTTATTGTGATATATTAATATATACTGCACTTTTTTACAGTTTGCCACCAAGTGTACGATTCAGGTGCTTGCAAAATATAAGAACCGAGATATTTTTATCTCGATGATGTAAATAATTGCGAACATTTTTTGTATGGAGGTTGTGGTGGAAACCAAAATAATTTCAAAACCTACGAGGAATGCAAACGTACATGCAAAGATGTTTAAAAAGTTGTAAATAAAAATACTAATTGAAAGAATGTGCAAATTTTTATGAGACATTTGCACAATAGTTTTATATGAAATAATTGACTGCAATAAAATCAAACATACGAATATATATGTAATTTGTAATTTGTGAAATGTAGAAAAATTAGCAAGAAATGAAAAAAACGTACTATAGTACTGCAACATTATAGAAATGTTAGGAAATGAACATATATACATTATGATTGGCGAGAAATCTGAATTTGCATTGTAGCGAAAATTTATTAGAAACGGTTATGCCGTTCTTTTGAGGCTACATCGCACTATACGCAACAGCGATTTATCGGCTACATAACTGCCAGACTAGTGCGCATGCTGACTACGTTGTTACCTGAAAGAATCGGCGCAGGATCGATCATAATCCTACATTCGGCATTTCGTTGTCTAAGCAAACGGTTCCTTGAGCTCTCGATCTGTTGGAACATATACGACGAGACGAGGAACTTATCGGTTCTGCCAATTGAAGAGATCAAATTTTTCGAAATCTGGTATGTTTATCTTGATCATTTTTGTTATTAACAAATTTACTTCTATTGGTTAGTATTAAATTAAGTTTGTTATTAAATTTATTTACTTTGTACTTTTTGGTTTGTATTAAATTTGTCTTTTTATATCGTTTTGCATCTAGTTAAATCCGACATACATTTACATTGTTAATTTACGGTACATCTGATATTACAATCTGAAAATAAGATAAAATGATTTAAAGTTGATCTTAATTCAACTCAAAAAAACTTCTCTGAAAGTTTCAATACAACTGTATCGCATTTTTTATAATAAATTTTTCGCGAACGACTTTATTATTTTTGTAATGCTGAACGATATTTCAATATGCAAGTAAAAATTAAAATAATTTAGCATTTTAACAGATATAGTATTTTTAACATGAAATAAGCATAAAGATGGATAAGCAATTTCAGATTACAGCCTTCGTCATTGTTAAAAAAATTATTGGCGATTATACATTAGAGAGACGCTACTGCTACACAAATTGAAACATAAACAGGAATAAAATGGATTACAAAGCTTGGTCATTATTTGTGCTAGTCATCGTTAGCACGTTAATTTACGGGACAATAGCATATCCGAAACATTTGTGTATGTATTTTTCTTTTTACATTAAACATCTTTATATTACATTTGCTATTACAATTTTTTAAACATAACTTGAAAAAACTGCATCGTTGAAAATATACATATATTTAAGGGGTTACCTGCAGTCAGTAATTAAAAAAAATTGATTTTGAGATTTCGACATTTTCTTAAAGTACAACATCCCAAAAGTGTCGTCATAAATTTTCAAGCTAATCCGACTATAATTGACGGAGCGGTAGCGGTTATATGTGCCTACTTGTGTTCTACGAAAAACAAGTCGACATATTTAGGCCTTTTTATCCTAGGCCTTCGAATGTATTTTTCGAAGATGTATGTGTGTATAAACGGTTCGAAGTGGCTATAGCATCCGAGGAAGCAGAAGGTTCATTATATGGTCTTGGAATAGATGATTATGTGTAAATCCCCAAAAAAATTTTTATTATAAAATATTTCGTAAAAAAGACTAAATGTTTTTTCAAAACTACGATTTCAAAGTCGGCGACCATTGTAATTCAAAAACGGCTTAACCGATCGGTCTGAAATTTTTTGTGCTTATTTCAGATACAATTTATGGGTCCCTGATTGTAGGATTTTTTTTTTCTTCAAAAAACTTTTTTTTATAACCAAAAAACGCGCGATTTTTTCCCGAAAATTCAAAATTTTTTTTTATAAGTCCGTCATTTTATTAAAAACTAAAATTTTGCTAAAACCTTTGATCAGGGATCCGCTATACTCTTATATTATAACTAATGCAATCGGGATTTTTTTATTTTACATAAACCAGTCAAAAGCTACAGTGGTCACCGCAAGACACCTTTTTTTTTAGGACCTCTGGAAAAACCGCCATCACACGCTTAAAAATCAATATTTTTGCATGAAAAATTTTTGTAATACTCTTAGAATATACGTCTGTCATATGCTGAAACTTATTTTTATAAATACTTATACAAATCTTCAAAAAAAATTCCCAAAAAGTGCTTTTTTTCGACCTTCTAAGTGCAGGTAACCCCTTAAATGTCACGAATAAATGGAAATAAAAATTGTAATTTTTATTTTATAACAATGAAGACATTATCAAATATTACATTGTATGTAAGTTAATATATTGTATCTTATTTACAGTTTACTACACGTACTACGATATGGATTTTTAACTAATATATTATATATTTTTCTTACAGATTGCAAAGAAGAATTTAGTTCAGGTTACGGCAAAAAAAACGAAGAAAGATATTATTATAACATCAATAGACAAGAGTGTAATATGTTTATTTATTCAGGCCGTGGAGGAACTCTTAACAATTTTAAGACCTTGGATGAATGCATATTAGCATGTGCAAATGTAACAACAGAGCTACACAATCAACATAAAATGTCCTACAATAAACATTAAACAGATCTTTAAGACTTTGTAATCTTAGTTATATATTTATTTTACACTTGTGTGTTTTTACACTAATTGACTATAGTAACTTACAATGTGTGTATAAGAATGAATAAAGACATTATTATTTCTTACTTGTTTTTTTTATCTTTCTTATCATATATATTTTAACTATATAATAACGTAATATCATTAAAACATGTAATGATTTAACTCAAGAATAATCAATGTTTATTGTGCTACATTTGTAGTTTTAAAAAAGCTCTTTTATTATCAAATTTGTTATAATCATATTTAACTAGTTCAAAAAATTTATTATGAACATTTATTATGAACCGTAACTTACGCAATTACTTTATATACAAAAATTTTATATAATTTTTTCATATATCTAGATATTTAAAATCTGTCCTCCTAATTTATTCTTCAAATATATGTATGTATTTTGTCTTTATTTAATTACCTTTACATAATACTTTTAGTTATTATAGATATTAAATTTAAGAAAATAATATGAAACATATAATGTCACAGTAATGTTGTAAAAATCTTACATTGTGTACAAATATTGTAATTAATGAGTGGTCTGGAATCGAATTTTGGTGAAAATTTATTGTGAATATCGCGAGTTTTTCCACTGGCGTTCATACTTATCGCATGACACACCACGGCATAGAAGATAGAAGACGCGAATTACACTTACATAATTGAGAAACGCGTCACGTTGCGCTGATATTCTTGATTGTTTACGTATGGTAATGTGTCTTACTTCTCACATCACTACGCCACGGCCATGATATTCGTGATTTTACAGCCAGATTATTGACAGATTGAATGCGCATGATTTTCACTCTGTTTCATGTAGAATTTCGATCCTGCATGTAGTTGCTTTTGGTCGTCCATGAAAATAGGTGGTTTTCGCTTTCGTTATCTGTTGGTACATATACAACGAAAGAGGAGGGATTCTTACCGGTACGGAACTCAATTTTGTCTTGTGAGAAGAAAAAATCTATTGATACACTTGATAGGTTTTTTAATCAATTTTATCGTTAATTTAATTTACTTTTACCGTTTAATATTAAATCCAGTTTGTTATTTTTTTGTTTATGATTCAATTACTTTGTACTTTTGAGTCTGTATTAAATTTGTATTTCTTTATGTGTCGATTCATATCTAATGTATTTTAAATTATATTTTCTATTGGTTGTGCATAAGACCGTTTAAAAATTCTATAAATTTATAGAAAATATATAGAAAATAATTTTGTGGACAAATTTTATTGTTTTGTTCAAGTCAACTGGCAATATTTGAAAATATCAATAATGTTTTTTCTGTCCTAGGAATATCTCAATGCGAAATCAACATACATTTACATTGTTCAATAGACCTGATATTATGATCTGAAAATGAAATAAAACGATTTAAAATCAAAATTTAATATGACTTAAAAAGACTCTTCTGAAAATTTCAGTGCAATCGTATCTTACTTTTTGTAATTAGTTTTTTACAATTTTTATACGATTTTTATAACACGAAGCGACATTTTAATATATAAATAAAACGTAAAATTATTGTGCATTTTAACAGATATAGTAGTTTTAACATGAGATAAGCATAAAGATGAATATACAATTTCAGATCACAGCCTATATAATTATTGAGAAAATTTTTGGCAATATTACGTTGGAGAGACGTAACTGCTGAATTGAAACATAATCAGGAAAAAATGAATCACAAAATTTGGTTATTATTTGTGCTAGTCACTATTAACATGTTGATTAACGGGATAATAGCATATCCAGACCATTTGTGTGCGTATTTTTCTTTTTACACATTATAAACATCATAATCTTTACATTACATTTGCTATTATAATTTTTTTAACATAACTTGAAGTAATTGCATCGTTGAAAACATACATATATTTAATTGTCACGAATAAATAGAAATTAAAATTGTAATTTTAATTTTATAATAATGAAGACGTTATCAAATATTTCATTGTACGTAATTTAATGTATATTGTGTATCTTGTTTACAGTTTATTATACGTACTATGATATGAATTTTTAACTAATGTATATTTTTCTTACAGATTGCGAAGAAGAATTTAGTGCAGGTTATGGCAAAAAGAAAATAGTAAGATATTATTTCGACAACGTAACACAGCAATGTGATATATTTATTTATTCAGGCCGTGGAGGAACTCTAAACAATTTTGCGACTTTGGATAAATGCATACGTACATGTGAAAATGTTAAACGTATAGATCTTTAAATAGAATTACTAAAGATTTTGTAAAGTCTTGATAACATATTTGTGTTTTACACTTGTTTCTATAGTAATTGACTACAGTAATAAAAACATTATTATTTGTTACTTGCCCTTTTATCTTTTTTATCATATATATTTTATCTATATAATATCATCAAAACCATTGTAATGATTTAACTCAAGAATAATCAATGTTTATTGTGCTACATTTGTAGTTTTGAAAAGCTCCTTTGGTATCAAATTTGTTATAATCATATTTAACTAGTTTAGTAAATTTATTTAAACACTTATTATGAACTGTAACTTACGCAATTATTTTATATACAAAAATTTTATACAATTTTTTCATATATCTAGATATTTAAAATCTGTCCTCCTAATTTATTCTTCAAATATATGTATGTATTTTGCCTTTATTTAATTACCTTTACATAATACTTTTAGTTATTATAGATATTAAATTTAAGAAAATAATATGAAACATATAATGTTACAGTAATGATTAAAAATCTTACATTGTGTACAAATATTGTAATTAATGAGTGGTCCGGAATCGAATTTTGGTGAAAATTTATTGTGTGTAATTTATTGTGTGTAATTTTTTGTGAATATCGCGAGTTTTTCCACCAGCGTTCATTTTTATCGCACGACACACCACGGCATAGACGGTACACTCACATAATCGAGAAATACGTCATGTGTTGCGCAGGCGTTCTCGATTGTGTGCGTATGGTATGTATCTTACTTCTAACATCACTACGCCACGGCAATGATATGTATTCGTGACTTTACTACCACATTATTGGCAGATCTATACGCATGATTTTCACTCTGTTCCATGTAGGATCCCGATCCTTCATGTAGTTGTCTTTTGATCATCCATGGGAATAAGTGTTTCTCGTTTTTCGTTACTGCTGGCACACATACGAGAAATAAGAGATTCTTACCGGTACTGAACTCAATTTTGTTTAGTGAGAAGAAGAAATCTATTGATACACTTGGTAGGTTTTTTAAATCAATTTTATCGTTAACAAATTTACTTTTACCGTTTAATATTAAATCCAGTTTGTTATTTTTTTATTTATGATTTAATTACTTCGTGCTTTTGAGTCTGTATTAAATTTGTATTTCTCTATGTCGAGTCATATTTAATGTATTTTAAATTATATTTACTATTGCTTGTGCAAGACCGTTTAAAAATTCTATTTGAAATTTGAAAATAATTGTGTCAACAAATTGTATTGTATCGTTCAGATTAGCTGGCAATATCTTAAAACGCCAACAATGTTCTGCCCTTGGAATATCTTAATGCAAAATCCGACATACATTTACATTATTTAATAGACCTGATATTATGATGATATTAGAAATAAAATAAAACGATTTAAAATTAAAATTTAATATAACTCAGAAAGATTTCTCTGAAAATTTCAATGCAATCGTATCTTACTTTTTGTAATTAGTTTTTCGTATACAACTTTTCTAACACGATTTTTATAACACAGAGCGACATTTCAATACATAAGTAAAAAGTAAAATTATTATGCATTTTAACAAATATAGTATTTTTAACATGAGATAAGCATAAAGATGGATATACAGTTTCAGATCACAGCTTATATAATTGTTTGAGATTGTAATTGAGAAAATTTTTGGCGATATTACGTTGGAGAGACGTTACTGCTACACAAATTGAAACATAATCAGAAAAAAATGGATCACAAAATTTGGGTATTATTTATGCTAGTCACCATTAGCATATTAATTCATGAGACAATGGCATTACCAAAATATTTGTGTACGTATTTCTCTTTTCATTAACGTTGTAATTTGTTATTACAATTACTATTACAATATTTTTAATATAACTTGAAAAATTTCTGCAGTGTTCTTTAATTACACATCTACTTTTTGTACAAAAATTTTATTTACTTTTTTTTGTACCTATTTAATATGATTTGATATTCCGATTTATTTTTGGTAATGTGCACATCTTTAATTGTCATGGACAAATGTACATTGCAAAAAATTGAAATTGTAATTTTAATGTTATAACAATGAAGACATTGTCTAATATTTTATTGTATGTTATTTGATGTATATTGTATCTTATTTGCAATTTGCTATATATACTTGTATCATGATATAAATTTTTAACTAATGTATATTTTTCTTACAGATTGCCGTGAACAATTTAATGAAGGTTACGGCAAACAATTACTAGAAAGATTTTTTTTCAACTTTAAAACCCTTGACTGTGAACGTTTTTATTATAAAGGCTTTGGAGGAACTCTTAACAATTTCCAGACCTTAAATGAATGCATTTATGTATGTAAGAGCACGTTAAGCAGAACTGTTAAAAAAATGTTTCACATAGATTACTAAAAGTTCTGTACAGTCTTGATTACATATTGTACATATTGATTACATATTTGTATAAGGATTTTATTTTTACAATAATTGACTGCAATAAAATTAAATCGTGTGCGAATACATACGATTAAAGAATTATTATTTGTATTTTGTTTCTTTGATCTTCCCTGCTATACTGCATACATTATACTACGCGTATAATAACTTAATAACATTATAACATGTAATGATTTAAATTAAAAATAATCAGTTTTTAGTGAATAATTTTTGTGTCTTTAAAAATATCGTGCTTTATATCAGATTTGTTATAATCGTAGCGAACAATATTATCAAACTTATTATAAATATATCATTTATGCATTCTACTTTTTGTACAAAAAATTTTTTTACTTTTTAATATATCTGTTTATTTAATATGGTTTGATATTCCGATTTATTTTCTTAAATATATAACAAAGAATTATTCCGAATAAGAAGTATCAAATAAGTTAAAAAATTTTTGGAATATTTTTTAAATTGATTTTTTTATTATTCACAAGTAAATAATAATAAGAAATAATAAATGAATAATTGGATAATAATTTAGCATCAAATCAATTACATTTACTTAAAATTCTTACATAATTGCGATGATACTCGCAACTTATTAGCCACGTAATTAACTGATTAATGCGCGATTGCCCAACTTGAATATATATACATATACATACACTAGCGGATCCTGATGTCGATAATGGGGGGGGGGGGGGTTCGACCTGCTTTAATGCATTTTTTGCCAAGATTCTTGAAACGGATCGAGCAAAATTGTATTTTTTTAACTTGGAAGGGGGGGTTTTACCCTCCAGAATCTACCAGTGTATACATATGTAACGAGATGCGAGAGACCTAAGATCATACTCTATTCTGCTTGAGAACAAGAAAGATCTATCGATACTTGGTGAGGTATCCTTGCTCTTTCAATTTTCGTCGTTATCAAATTTACTTTTATTGTTTAATCTTAATTAAACCTTATTACTTTTCTTTCATCTGTAAGGTAATTAATTGTTTTGCACTTTTATGTATCTGTGTTATATTTATGTCGCTTTATGTCGATCTATACGTACGTAGCATTAGGTGTTTATGACTGCCTGGAAAGTTTAGAAATTATTTTGTCAATTGCGCTGTTCTATTGCGCTGAAGTTATAACGTAAAGTAAAATAAAATAATTTAAAAGGATGAGATTTTCGCGCGTGATCGTATTTTACTTAATGATATATTCATCTCTCGCTAAACTATATTTTGTGAAGAAAAGTGACTGCTACGTTACAGTAGACAAAATGTGAAATTATAATACATTTTTAAATAAAGTATTTTTTATGTTGTAACGTTATAATGAAAGAATTGTATTTTATGATTTGTGTAGATTTTTATTGTCAGCGCAAGTTTCTAATATAATTTCTTTCGTATTTAAAGATGGTAAAGATTCCGCATATAAATTATTTATCTTAAAAATGTATATATGTATATTTAATTTCAGATTACAGTAAATAATAATTCTCATCATAATAATAATCATCGACAAGCAAATTTTTAAGAATATTACATTGATGAAACTGAACTATTAGAAATTGAGACATCAGACGCGTGAAGATGAGTCTCCGAAAAACGTGTCTGTTATCATTTGTATTTATTATCGTTAGCATATTAGTGTATAGGACAACAGCTAAACCAGAAGATAAGTTTTCTTCTTTCATATTTTTAATATACAACTTTAATTACAATATTTTAATATAATTTGGAGAAATTCAAATATTAAAAAATGTATATGTATTTAATAATCACTCAAATAGAACGCAAAAAGCTGAAATTGTTAATTTAATATTATTTTATTGAGAAAGTTAATATAGATACTTTATTGTACATAATTTTATGTAACTCTTTATTTGTATTACAGTTTGCTTTCTACCTATAAACGATCTTATCAAACCATGTCTAGCTGCCATTAATATAATGTATAGATATAACATAACTTTGAACCAATGCAAAAAATATACGTATTTATTTTATTGTGGGGAAAATGAGAATAGTTTCGACGATTTAAAAAGTTGCGAACGTACATGCATGATTATTTAATTATAATGTGAACACATACTGACATGAAATTATATTATAACTAATAAAAATATTCAATACAATGTTAACATAATTATAAAGGAAATATTTAAGTACATTGGAAAACTCTGTGAAACTTTTGTAAGACACTTATGCAAGTGTTTTATTTTTTCGATTAATTTATTATATTAATAAAATATAAGAATATAAGAATGTGAATAAAATATGTATATTTAAATATTACTACTTTTTATCTTTCTTTATATACTATATGGCGAGTGTCGTAAGATTTTCGATAAGTACTCTTCCGAAATTCTACCACACAGTATGCCACGGCGATAATACTCGATGACGTATCAGCTACGTTATTGGCAGACAGTGCGCAGGCTTTTCACCATTGTGGGGAAGGAATTTCAGGATCAAAGAACCGATCGCAGTTCTCTATATTGTTATCTTTTAGCCGATCACAGTAACGGACGTTTCTCGACAATTTGTTTGGACTTATACGACGAGACAAGGAATTTAACCCAATTCTGCTCAATGAGGATAAATCTATTGGCACTTGGTAAGTCATTTTTAATTAATTTTTTTTTTTAATAAATTATCTTTTATTACGTACTAAGTACTAAATATTAAATAAATTTCGTTGTGTTTTCTTTATCTGCACATTAATGATTTTGTACTGTTGCATTTGAATTATATTAATTATTACTTTCGTGGTATGTCGATCCGTCGATTTTATACGACACGATCTCAAAGCTCTATACATTGGAAAATAATTTTGTCGAGAAATTTGATTGTGTCCCCAAGATTAGTTGACAAAATCTTACGACGACAACAATGCTCTGGCCTTGGTCTCGATAAGAAATTCCTAATACACAATCGGTGTTTTTTTTCTTACGTGTAACGAACATGCTAAAATAATAATCGTGGTAAAATCTTAACATTGTATTCATATTACAAAAAGAGCTCCTCTATTACTCTCTTGTTATAGGTATACACATGATTAATAATAAATGATGCTAATTTCACGATTCAGAGATGTGTAGATTCCACAGATAAACTATATTATTTATTGAAACAATTTTAAACTTGCACACATAAAATTAAATTAAACTTCATAATTTATTTGTCAGAATATTAATCTTTATATAAAATAAAATGAGCTAAAATGTATGTATAAAATTTCAAATTGTTGCATGATGATTATTGATAACACAATTTTCCTAGATAATACATCAGAGAAAGTTAATAAATTAAAACGTCACACACATCAAGATGAGTTACAAAACATATCTCTTATTTCTCGTTATCGTCTCTCTCTCATTATCATGCGTACTCTCTAGGAAGAATACGAATCATGTGCGTCATATGAAGAGTAGACATCAACAATCTTCAAGTCATCGACAACCTTTAAGTCATCAACAACTAAGTAAGTTTCTTTTCTCGCATTGAACACAGTAATCTTTTATTAAATTTTATTTTATTAAATAATTTGTTATTACAATATTTTTAACATAAATTGTAAAATTTAAATTCTTCAAAATGTACATATTTTTATGTATTTAATAGTGATTTTTATGCATAATTTTTAAGCATTATTTTCATTGTATGTAACTTGATATGTATCGTACCGTTTTCACAGACGAAGATTGCAAAAAGAAATTTAACGTAGGTTCATGCGTTGCATTTGAAGAAAGATATTTTTACGACAGAGACACAAGTAGATGTAGAAAATTTATGTGGGGAGGTTGTGAAAAAAATAATAACAATTTTAAGACTATGCAGGAATGTCAGAATTTTTGTATGTTTAATAATTTTTATTATCATGTAAAAATAATAAATTAAAAATTTTATGAAATTCTGATAAGATATTTATATAATTATTTCGTTTGTACAAGAATTGATATGAACTGATTGATGAACTGTAATAAAATTAAACGTATAAATACATAAGAATAAGAAAATATATATATTATATTTATAATTTGCTTAGTTTTTGTCTTCTTTCCTATACTATGAGTATAATACTATGTATAATATCTTAATTACATTGCAATTTATAATAATTTGAATCGAGACTAATCAATATTTATTGATATATTAATTAGCTAGCTTTGGGGACACAATCGAATTTCTCGAAAAGATTATTTTCAAATGTACGAAACTTTGAGACCGTTTGGTATAAAATCTACGGATCGGCACACCACGACAATAATAATTAATAATTATACAAGCATAGAATTACGTCGAGATCATTATAAAACGCTTCTCACACGCGCAAATCTTTTTCGTAAAAGCACCGCGACAAAGAACAACGATATCTAATATAACCGCTCAGACACATTGCATTGACTGTAAAACGCTTGATATTTCCTTAAAGCACTTTCGCGTGCGTAAGCACTTTGCTCTTATGCGGACAATGCGTAAGTACGTCCCGTCAATCGGCGTGCGCGATCCGCGATACCGCAGCGAGACTTCCGTTTAATGCACCTTACGTTACAATGTTATCTGCTACGATAATATCGCGGCACGATAATCGAAACAGCGCATTCTATCGCGAAAGTAATTTTCAACGCTGCAAAGTTGCTCGTACGGGTAGTGCAATAATTTTCAATATCTCCGTCGGGATTATTCCTCGGATCTCGGAATAGGATTATAACTTTGCAAAGTGCCCACAACCGTTTATATTTTCCGTTGAACTATTATCTCATCGCGGTGCTCGTTAATAATTTTTATTAGTTTGCGCATAACTTTGTCGGGATGTTCCACGGTGCCGAAAATGTAAGTGCTTCGAGCCTAGATCGCGGCAACGTGTGTCGCCCGGGCGCTATTTCTATCGTCCCTTGGCAAAGAAAAGCTGATATTATGGAGATGAAATTGTATGTATGTGCATAAATTTGTCGTAAGCTTCCCGAGAGCGCGTCCCAAGATCTCTTGTCGAGATACAAACTCGCGTGCAGCGCGATGCCTGCCGATTATGGATGACCAAGAGAACGATGAACTTGTTCGGTCACTGTGTCATTAGACAGCAGTCGACAATTTCGCGCTAGAAATCGCTTCCATCTGTCATGTTGTTTTCACGCTCGGTGCGACTTTTTCTGCGAACATTTTCAGCGCGACGCGACGAGAACGTAACGAGAGTACGGCAGCATGATTGGCAAATGGAAACGTTGTCACTTTGTCGGCAATGTGACGCAACGCGATCAAAGTGAATGGGCGGAATCAATCGGAGTTTGACAGAGTGACAAACGCGATCACGGCGATCGATATTTCGGCCGATCGTTTACTGACCTTTTGCGATGCTCGAAATAGAAGTCGTTACTACCAGCACGGCAATTCATTTCGGCCCTCGTAAAGTAATATGAGACCACTCAAAGCAACGCAATGTTTCTTATTCCATCGCGCATTTTACAGCATTCACCGTCCATTCACAACTTGAAATTAGCAATTAAGATAATACATCTTTACGAGCGCATGTAGGCAATTCTTTAGACGCATTCTTTCAGTGACTCCAGTTGACGAGTTGCTTTCCCGAGATCGGTAGCATTTACGATGCGATAACACTTGAGTGCTAAAATTACAAAATAATATGCAGAAATTTTTTTTTATAGCATAAACTTGCAGAATTATGCATGCATTAATTATGCGCAATTTTTTCGAACCGTTGCTTGCAGATATGATTTTAATACATGAATATTCGCATATAATAAAAATGACGCTTATCATTAAGTACAGTCAACACGAATTGAAGTGAAAATCGAAATATCATTCAAATTATTCACAGATACCAGTAAACACAATACTTATCTGTTCGCGCCATTTACATCCAAGAAATTTCCGCGACTCATCTGTTTATCTTTGAGCTTTTGCGAGTTCTTTATTTTTTGGAGTAATTGAAAAAATTAGATTCCGCGCGGTAATTTCGAGATGCTTCCGTTTATATTAATTATGTGCGGGTAATGCATAAAAAGGTAATGAATAAATTTGAATAAGTAAAACTTTCGCGTTGCGTGAGAATATTAGAACGCACGCAGCACTTCTTTTGCATAATCATCTTTAACCACGTGGACCGTAACACCGTGACGTAACAGCTATATCGCGCACTCCCGTACCTGTGGATAGTGTTAATGCATAAAGTTTCTGCCTAAAAAGAACAAATGTGTGTAATGCTTCACAAGCTGTGACATGGCCGAAAAGTTACGTTTAACTTGAATTTCTAGGGGGACCGTAAATACTGTATAAAAAATAACTGGCGTTCGTACCCGATGTTACACATAGCTTGCAACTTTTCCTCGCATTTCCTGATAATTCATGAGAAAGTTTAATCCTTTCTGTCACGAATATATTTTTTCATTTATTTTTAATATATATACTACATTTTACACTTACAATTTAGTGCCGTTACACTATTTCAGCTGCATATTTCGGACGTGGATTATTTAGTATCATTCATAATCTTTGAGCAAAGTAATAAAAAAAGTAAGCATTGTAATATTTTGTTAACGAAAAATATATTTTTGTTTGTATTAATATTTCTCTTCAGTTGAATATGTACATATCACAGCTGTGAAATGCGATATATTGATTATGATTGTGGTCACGCTTATTCTGAGATTCTCAAAGTGGTAATAATTTTTTTAATAATTATTTGAGATTAAAAAATGTAATGTGCGAACGATCGTAACTTAAGTAGCGCGAAGCCGCACTTATTGGATGCAGAAAATACTCGCGGGACGACGCATCTTTTGCGAGCAATATATTTCATCGTATCGCGCTGTGTGTGACATTCAGAGTGAAAAATCTGATTCGAATTTCGATTAGTTCGCGCGATAACTTATCGAAAAATCAATCTGTAGTACAATAACATTTCGCATATGCGATGGTAGTTGCGGTATAACGTTTCACTGAATCGAGTAAATATCAAATTTTTGTTTAAAACAGCTGTTATCGCAACTATCTGACTGCACAGTCTTGAATTTATTCTCCGCAAAATTATGCGTACACATTTAATTATTCGGTCGGTTAAGATAACATGGACTCTGTGAGGGATTTTGCGGAACTCCAGAATTCCGCGGTCAGCATAGTTTGGGAATCTTTGGTCTAGTATAATGCCGCACTAACAGCTTGATCGAACTGACCTATTAATAAAGTAGTTCAACGATGTCAAATATACTTGACGAGGATACCGATACACGCTTATTAATATACGTGTTAATTGAATGACGCTTATTAATTGCGCTTCACGCATTATCTATACATTCTTGAGGTGTACCGTTCGCTGATCGGATGACTGGAGAGCCCGGCGTCTCCGATATATTCGAGAATCACCGACGTTAACGGTGGCAATAACAATAGCTACTTCGATCCGGGCAATAATTCCGCATTGTTCTATAGCGGCAATAAATGTCAGTCGATCATGTTCGCCGGGTGCGTCGCCGCGAACCGACGCTCTTCCTTCTCCTCCGTCGCGCTCCTTTAGCCGCCTCGTTTGTCGGCTCGATCGTGGCCAAGCACGATTCGGTCGTGCGGTTTTCCGAGCTTTAATGCGATCGATTTGCCGGAACGGCTTGCACCCGAAGAAGGAGGGCGTTTCTCGCCCGCTTCATAAAATGTGCAGTTTGATTTTTCCTCGTGAGAGTTAATCCGCGCGCTGTGGAGAATACGCGCGGAGTAACGTTTTTAAAGGGGATATTTTATTCGTATCTAGTTGCCGTCGGAAATCCATCGCTTCTTTTTTTTTTTTCTGAAACAGGAAAAGCTTCTTCATAGACCAACAGACAGAACTATCTCAACTGTCGGCCTTTCTTTGCAAAAAGATTGGAATAAATATCTGTAGCTGGGAGAAAACGCGATAGTTCCGGGATAGTCTTTACAACGCGGATATTTCAAGGGGTCGTGTAATAACGAGAATTCACGGTACCAAGGGATTCCACCGAGTTCCAAGATTGCCAACGAACCGAGAGCCGTTCTCAGAAATCGTTGGGCGCCGGAGAGAAGATCGCGCGATAACAGAGGAATATCTTTCGGCGATAACCATCCGTTCGCACGGCCACCAATCTTCTCATCCGCTGGCCCGATCATACTAATTAATCGTTACTCGATAGCGCGGTAAGAAGCTCGGTTTTTTTTAGAAGGCGCGACGCATCGCGAGCGATGGATCGCGAAGGGGGTCGATGGCAACCCGCGATAAGGATAAATGGTAGGGGGAGGAGGATAGAATGGATAAAGGAGGTTAGTGCTGCGAGACACTCGAGATAGATCGCGGGAATCGCTACGCGGCCTTATTACATCGTAAATTCCCGCGCTTAGTGATGGATAACATTAACCCATCGGCAACGACAAATTACTTAACTCCGCCGAGGTCGGGCGGCGCAGCTTCGCCGCCGTTCACCCGGAACTGGTTCTTCTTCCGTCGCGGTTCCCGCAACCTCGATCGATGCCGTGTTGTCGAGAGTGCGGCGGTTCCGAACGCCCGACCTTCCGATAATGCGACTTACCGAAGTTCCAGCAGTCACACGGTGACTCCCCGCGGCAAACACCCTTCATCGTCCGGATTTGACGTTGTGAAAGGGGAAAAAAAATAAGAGTGAGTCGGATCAGTTTGATCTGCAACTTTCGCAGATTTTCCAAACTGTTTTGTTTGTTTTTTATATGTATATATATATATATATATATATATACAGTAATAAGTACATCAATGCACATGTCGTTGCGTTGTAATCGTGCTTCAGGAAGCTAGATCATTTTGCGCACTGGCGGATATTGCTCTGCGAGTGGAAGACGCGCAATTTGCCTCGATGAAATTGCAGTACTTCGTGTTTACGTACGCGATGCGGTTCACGTAGAAGAGCATCCAGA